GGTGCACTCCCTGTTTATAACAAATATATGTTGCAATTCCATACACAGTGGGTGTTGGATCTGGTTGGTTTGGGACTTACTGATTAGCCAACAAAAAACCCTGCAGGAAAACAGTAGGTAGACCTGTCGCTCTCAGACAAGTCTTGCAAAGGGCTAGGGTGCCTTAGATGGGGCAACGAACACATTGGAAGGATGAACCAACTTGCCAGAATCAGGTCCCACTGGGGAATAATATCAGACCTTGAGAAACAAGGTGAGAGGGCTAGGCTTGTGTGAGGTCACAGAGCCCAGCTTGGAATCCTATCTGAACTCACCTTGAGCATGTGAAAAAGGGTTAGACTAGTGGTTCTTGAGTTCCTACTGTACGTTGGAACCTGCAATTGCCATCCCAGTCCTAGGGTAGATGGTGTTAGCCCTTGTTTTGCAACCCAGGAGACCCAGGCTCTACCAGTTAAACTAACTTGCCTGAAGTCACACAGTGATCTCTGGGTGGAGGCTTGTCTACCTGTCTTCAAAGCTGCTTTGTCATTGCAGGCCCCAGCAGATTTCCTCCTGTGTAAGAAAGTTTGTATTTATTTGGTTTTTGATAAGCAGTGGCTCTCTGTTATTGATGCTTTGCTAGGAGTGATTGTGCAGCCTGGATAGCAATGGGGTTTCCTCGGGAAAGGTGGAGCTTCCTTGGGAAATAACTCTTGTTCTCTGAGGACTTAGCTACTCTGACCTTTGGTTGAGTTGGCACTGGAGACATACACCTCAGTGACCCACTGCACCTTGCTATTCATCCCAGATGGCAACCTCAGGGCACACACTCCCTGCTGCAGGTGCGCCCATATCTGGCTGGCCCTTAGCGTCTCCTTCCCCCAGTGGCCAGTTCTACTGTGGTCAACCCAGCCTGCTGCTGTTGGCTGGTTTCCTGCCTCTCTTGGGGAGAGTATTCTAGGCTCCATGAGTGGAATTCCTGCAGGGGGCTTTCCTGTGGGCCATTCCTTTCCAGGAGGGGTTCAGAAGCTGCAACCCCCCTAGATCTGCCCCCAGCCCTGCCCTGAGGTGAACTTCCATGAAGGTCCCCAGTTGAGTAGGGGGTGTCAGAGATAGGAATGAAGGCATGGGTAGTGTGCTCGGGCTTTTTGGAGTGTGCTCTCATGTTTGGGGGAGGGGTGTCACTAACTGCACTCTGGATAGCTGCCATTTTAACCAGAACCAGATTTGCTGGCATGAATTGTTTTAACAATTGGTAGAAACAAGCACTGCAGTGAGATCCTTTCAGGCTAAATTAAAGAGGACACATGAGGGGAGAAATTTCAGACCATCTTCCTCTGCCTTGCTTCTCCCTGCAACCCCCAAGCCTTCTGTCTTCACCAGGAGTTTCAGTCTCTCACTGGTTCTCCATAGGTATTTCCAGTTCCTTCCAATCTTTTGTTATCCTGGATGGCACCAAAGGTCAACTTGGGGAGCATTAGTTCTCCTCATCACCCATACCTTGTCTTCATCAGCTTCTTTAAACCATTTCAAACAAACACACAATCTTAATTAAAAAAAAAAACAAACCCAAAAACCTGTGCTTTCTCTCTGTAAGCAGGGTGCCCAGAGAAATACTTCTCAGACTTTATGGTGTATAAATATTACCCAGGGATTTTGTTAAAATGTAGGTTCAGATTTAGTAGGTCTGGAGAGGGGCTCTAAGACCCTATATTTCTAACAAGCTCCCAGGTAACTGCCAGTGCTGCTTTCAAGGAAACCACACTGAGTATGGAAGCCCCAGGCAGCCCCACCTCTGCCTCCTGTCAGTCAGCTAAGTCCCGCCTTCTTAGAACCTCTGAAGCCCCTGCTGTGGGAATCTCTGGGAGGAGAGGGGAAGGATGTTGACATGTGAGCGCGCGCTCCTTAGCCAACACTTGCTTTTTCACATCCCTCTTCTCTCTGCACTATAATTCTCTCTTTTACTTATATCCCCTTTGCTCTCTTCTCTCTTGCTTTCTCCTTAGGGTCCACCAATACAGCTAGGACATGTAAGACCCATAGACAGTGGGAATTTGGTTCCATTTTGGTAAAGTGTGATTCCCCTGTGAAAACTGAAGTTTTCTCTGGCAATCCCCATGCATCCTTTGTGGCCACTTCTCTTGTAATCTCTGATGTCATTCTGCAGTCAGAGGGAGTCAGAGGGAGTGTGGGCTAGAGGAGCAGAGTAGCCTGAAGACTGACAGACAGACAGACAGACAGACAGACAGACAGACAGACAGACACACACACACACACACACACAGCTTCTGGGTTCTGCCAGGAACTGTCAGGAGTCACGTTCCTCTCTGGGCCTGGATTTCTTTATTCCTAGTCTATGGGGTTGAGCTGAAGGCCCCTTTGTGTCTAACATTCTTTTATTCTAATTAATCAACAAGCCTATTTTAGGTCCTCTGTACAAAATCTGAAGCCTTAATTACCATTCAAAGTCCACCCCATCCTCCTGTGTGTCTTACCTTCTCTGGGCCTTAGAGCCCTTGTTTACAGGTTGAGTGATGATGAGAGCTACCTGATCTGGGCAAGTTAGGACATAA